TCTGGCAAATGACTCTCACCTCCAGTCATCTTTCTATCACTGAGCAACATAACCCACAAAAATATGTGCACACATCTGTATGTTTATAAATATTTATATACAACTAAGTCTAAGTGCTTACTGTATTCCCAAAGTCATTAATATGCCCTATCATTCCTTCAGTCAAAATGAGGCTGAGAGGTGGTATTCAGGATGACTTGGGCTTGATTCAGCCAAAGAACTACCTTTGACAAGGCTCCAGACCTTGCTTGATTTTTATTTTCCTTTATCTTCTTCTCCTTCTTCTTCTTTTTTTTTCCTTATTCATAAAATACAGATTTAGGGCTTATCTCTTACTTGCTTCTAGTTCTAAAACATTTTAGTTATTTGCAAAACGTAAACATGGGTATCACCCATTCAGATTCAACAGCCACTTCCCTCTACTGAGGAGAAGGGATGGTTAACATAAACCAGTGAGGCTAAATATGCAGCAACAAGTGCTTAAAAGACTATAGCGGAGGAGGCTAAATTTTGAACAGGTAAAAGCTGTTTACTTTCAAAGAGAGGCCCTTCTATAGTATGTTAAGGAAACATCAAGGAAGCAAACAATTGAAATGTCAGTGAGAACAGGCCATTCTGGGCAAAAACAGGTAGAAAGAACCTCAGGATATCTTTCTCTGGCTATTGAAAGTGCAGTCTTCAATGCACTTGTATTGGTAAAAAAAAAAAAAAAAAAAAAAAGAAAGTGCAGTCTATCAAAAACATGCAAAAAGATAAATAATATAAATTATTATTATTATAAAACCATTGTGTTACAACCCAGAGAAAATCCCTCTTATCTCTATGGTATATTTCTTATTTTTCTATGTGCATAACAAATTTTTGTTTAAAACCATATTACACTTACACATTGTCATCTGAAACATACTTTTAAAGGCATTATATTCTATCATGTGGGTGTCCCAAAACTTAACTTTGCTCTCACTTGGGCACTAAACCTGCTTCAAGTTTTTATGTATTACAAAAAGTGCTACTACAAATATACATAAAACTTGGGTTACACTTCTGCTTAATTTCTTAGGATAACTCAAGAAGTAGACTGCGTGAATGGATATGAGTATTTTTACAGCCTTCCTTATACATATTGTTAAATTGCCCTTTGGTAGCACCAGTTTTTTAATGAATTTTACGATAAATTTTATGAATCATTTGTTCCTATTTTTTAGTGCAACTAGATGCAATTTGAATAAGAGGAGATTAAGTTTCTTAGAAAACAAATAGCAGAATTAGAAAAATCCCATAATTAAATTAATTGACAAGTATGGTTTAATAAATGATGGGCTTTATAGTCTACACATTTTGTTCTCTTGAGTTATATTTTGGGTTTCTGACATTATTGAGTTTTGATCATGCTGTTTCCTATATTCTGAGTATAAAGTATTGGTATTTAGAATCCTGATGTAAGTTACCTCTGACTGTAGGATACAGTTCCTAATGGCCACAACAGTTAACCCTTTCTGTAAATGAATGATACTTGGAGACAGAAAGTCTTAAGACAAATCTAAAAAATCTAAGAAATATTTCAAACTAAAAGCACAAATATTTGTTAAGTCATTTCAAATGCTATCTTGACACTAAAATAAAGCAAAAAAAAGAGTCAAATTAAAAAGGTAGAGGGGAGAAAATTGTAGGAAAAATCCTAAGAAAGTAAAAGGCAGAAATATCAAAGTAAAAAGAAGAAAAGCAAGCCAGGCACGGTGGCTCATTCATTCCTGTAATCTCAGCACTCTAGGAGGCCAAGTGAGGAGGATTACATGAGGCCAGGAGTTAGAGACCAGCTTCAGCAACATACCCAGACCCTGTATTTATAAAAAAATAAGAAAAACATTAGCCAGGTATGGTGGCATATGCCTGTAAGCCCAGCTACTTGGGAGGATAGCTTGCACCCAGGAGTTCCAGTCTGCAGTGAGCTATGATTGCGCCACTGCACTCTAGCTGGGGCAATAGAGTGAAACTCTATCTAAAAAAGAAAGAAGAAAGAAGGAAGAAGGAGGAAGAAGAGGAGGAGGAGGAGGAGGAGGAAGAGGAAGAGGAAGAAGAAGAAGAAGAATAGAAATGCTAAGACATATTTCATAGATTAGAAAATCTTATAAAATGAAAAAATTAATAAACAGAGTGCAATCAGTAGGAAGACGCTGGAGCAACTACGAATTAAAACAATGAAATAAACAGGCAGAAGAACATGAATAAAGGGTCAAATATCACTTGATGATACAATATAGTGTTATATCTTCCTTTTGGCTGCACCATTATTCAACCACCTCAACTAAGTAGGTGGCTGAGAACTAGAAAACGAGGAGGAAAAGGTTCTCACAATAGCCATAACTGACAATCACGTTATACAAGTTCCAGTGCTTCTCTCATAATAATTTTAAATCCTTACTTTAAATAGAAGGCTAAGAAATTTGGTTATTTTTTTTTTCTCTGTCAGTAGCATATTAAAAGTGGTAAATCAGAAGCAAGGAGAGATTTCTAGAAACCTTTACACTGAAAATACACATTTGCAAGTGATAAAGGACACACACCACCACTAACAACAACAAACTCAAGAACTGAAAAAGCACATAGTCTCAAAATATAAGAAGGGATAAACCACCCTAGGTTTCATGATCAGTCCTAAATGCATCAGAAAATGACATCCCTAAGAGAAGAAAATGTTTAAATTATGATCAGCAAGTTCTGTTTAATTAAGATGGAAGGGAAAGACCACATTTTAAAGTGGATGGTTGATTAAATCATCCACCCTGGATGACTCAAAAGTAGAGAGATAGCTTCAACACCTGAAAATTTTACATATGTCAAATGTCTCATTCCCAAGCCAAAATAACTACAGTACAATAAAAATAATGAAACAGAGCTACAGTTGGTAGAGAAACTATAATTTTGAGCATGAAAGAGATAAAACCACATTTGAAAAATCTATCTGAGTAAGATAAGCATGGTGGTTAGCACCCTAGCACACTTTGCATCATAGCCATCCATACACTGTGTACAATGACCTGCACTCCTGAGCACACTGACATGTTACCTTTGCCTTGGCGGGTGTGCTTTTTGTGCCAGTCAAATCTTGGTAACTTTGTGTTCCTCCCAAGAAGTTCAGAAGCCACATCAAAAAAACTGCTATCATCTGGATCCCTTCCATACTTCATACAGTACTAGAATTTGCACTTTTGCACTAACAGTTACAACAGAGAATTGGAGTAATTTTAGTATTGAACCAATGATTTATATTTGGCAATATTTTAAGTACTTACTATGTGCCAGGTGAACTGGCTCTGTGTAAATGTAGCAGATTTAATCATAGAAACTTAAAGACTCCAGAGTCATCTAGAATATGCAATTATATAATCAATTTTCTACTACTGTAATTTTTCAACCAGTCTCCCCAACACTAATAAAGATGGTACATCCATTTTTCACCTGGTATCATCATTGTTAAAAAACAGACAAAATTCCAACTTTCCTTTTCTTTGTGTCTGAATGAAATACAATTTTTCATCTATATTCTATTATCTTCCTCAGAAAATCGTGCTGAATTAAGAAAATATGAAAGAAATTTCAGCCCCAAAGAGTAATATTTTAAGATACCACGTGAAAAACCTCAGAAGAGTATTTAAGTAAAACAATAATTACAAAGAAATATGTTGGTAATTTTGAAATGAAGATAAACTAGATGACAGTTGGCCAAACACATTATCTAAGATCTTTCTTTAGATTATCTAAATCTATATCTAGTGGGCTATCTAGCTTTCCAAATTTCAATGTCATGGTAACATGTAAGAAAAAGCACAGAAAACAAACTCACCTATGAAGTAACCTTACCCGAAAACTTGTACTTGAATTTGATCAAGGCTCTATATCTTTCAATTTTAAAAAGCAGGGCACAAAGGAACAACATAAGGATGCAATTATCCAAATCCAGTCTAAGAGAAATGCTACAAGACAACCCAATTTTTTCAACAAATAAATTCAGAGTATCCCAACACTTCATCAAAACCCACAATTTCAATCTCATCCCTCTGAAAGCTGACATTGAGTTTCTTACTCTATGGCTACTTGTATTATGGCACTCTAAACACCATGCCGAAATTACATGTGTGTCTCCCATTATAGCTCTAACATAGTGGAGTACAACTAAGTAGCTCAGAATGGAGCTCTGAAGTTAGACAGCCTGAGTTGAAATTCCAGCTTTGCCCCCTGAGTTAACTCATCTATAAAATGAAGAAAATACCACCTGCTGCTCAAAGGAATTTTAAGGTTTGCAAGAGAAAATATATGTAAAGCCCCAGCACAATGCTTAGCATATCTTCAGCAGTTAGTAACTATCTAATGATTGAATAAATAAAAACCTTAGTAGCAAAATTAAATAGTTATGAATTTCATCTCCTATGATTTAATCTAACCACCTTTTTATAGTTTCTAGTGAACAGTAGATAGTATTCAGTGAATAGTAAAATGCCAAGATAGTAAGAAAAACAATAGGAAAGATAACTGGGAAACAAAAAAATCCAGGCTATCAATTTCTAAATAACTGAACTTGACTCTAAGGTACTAGAGTTTACTCACAGCAAATGCCTGATGAAGAATGGAATGATTAAGGGCTAAAACTGACCAAATCTGGTATAAGTAATCAAATGGATTTTCTGACTAAAAACTCTCAACATAATTATCTTCAAGCACAATTTTTAATAGTATGGAAAACACTTTGAAAAGGATTTTTAAAATGTCAACATCACTGCTCTGAATCTCTTCGGTTTTCTCATTTTAAAAAACACTAACAATAAATTTTTCCATTTGAAAAATGTACACACTGTGAGCCAACTGCTGCATGGTGCATGATGTGGTAATAAACCAAAAAAGCTCAACATAGCATCATCTAAAATTCTGAAAACATTCATTTAAAACTATTTAAAAGTTCTAATTTGAAAATAAAATTTTTCAAATAATATGAAAATACTTACATCTCAATTTGTCCAGCATTTTTCCACCACACATGGTTGCTAACATAGCTTTAACTGAAAATACCGTCAACTTGCCTCGGCCCTCACTGAAAAATAAATTATATTAGAAATAATTGCTATTTGGAACCACAAAAGCAATCAAATGTATCACTAAATACTGAGCAACCAGTAAAGTGATTCCTGTCCTTATATGTTACAATTTTACCATATTTAGAAATCCTGGATTTTTTTCCTTTGTAGAATTAAGGCTTCATCTATGCTAGATGAAGTACGATAAAGCTAACCTGAATTATCTGGAAGTGAGTTTTAGAAACGTTCTGTAAAGTAATTTATATTGGCTATGTAGGCAGAGGCCAAACAGATGGACCTGAAGTAAATGTCCTATCAATTAAACCCATTAAATCCACATCTGCAGTTTTCAAGTATTCAAAACTGAAGGGCCACTAGGTTTGAACATAATTGAGAGGTGTCTTTATATCAGGATATTATAACAACAGTTTATTGTTCTGTACTAAACAACAGGGCACACACTGCTATAAAGATTTTATAGTACACTCATCTTTGTTTTTACTGTAACAATGTTTATGTTACCATGTGTTTATTCTAAGAAGCTCAATTACATCTGTCTCAGATCTTCTCATATACCACAGTGAGAAAAGTGAAGGGGAAGGGATAGTAATATTAATTCTTGTTTAGGAACTAGAAAGATGAAATGTAGAAGAATATAAATGAATTGCCAAAAGTAATGCTGCACACCACCAGCAGAACCAAGGCCTGCTGACCCAACATGTCCGTGATTTCATCCATTCAACTATGCCCAGATTTCATAGCAGATAAAAGCCACTAGCTGGTTGTGAAAGTTATCATATGTAATAAATTAACAATGGACTTTTATGTTGATTTTTAAAAGCTTCTGTTCATAAAGTTTCACAGTAACTTAGAGTAAAATACTTTTGCAATAAAGAGAGCTATATTGTCTTGGTTTTGAAAAGTATATATCATCTTATTTGTATTCACTAATGGTCCTAATGGAGTGTTTCCCATTTTCAAAACCATCTTTGTACACAGAAAGATCACACCTGAAAAAAGGAAAATGATCTATAAACCACAAGGTTCTCTGTGAAAACATCACCAGAAAATATCAATGTATGTTACAGTAGGACTGTTAACTATTACATCTCCTTGAGTTTATTCATAAGATAAAATAAGAATCCCTCAACTATCTAAAATTAGGGTGGAGTTTTTAAAATATATAGTTCTTCAGAAATAAAGATACTGCTCCATGTATAGGGCAATATGACACCTAGAAATGATAAGGAATATTCCTGCGTCAAATATCCACTACATCATATGAGAAAAGTCAGTGGCTAAGACAGATCGTTAGGTAAAAAAGAATGGATTTCTCAGATTGATACAGACCTTTTACTGTGGACTTTTTATTTTTTACACCAAACATCCAAATGCTGAGTCTACAAGATAAGCACACTTCTCATTATTAAAGTACAAAGAAAGAAAAAAAAACATATCTTTGCTCTCCCATTTTTTCTTCATGACACAGCTCCACCAATAAGATGTACTCACTCTAGACTTCAATAGGAAATGATTCACTTTAAGAAGCAGGAACTTCAGAAGAATCTACCTGGTGGGGATTCAGTACAGGAGCCGTTATGTCTGGTGTCCTGAAGCAGCAGAGACCATGATTCTTGGGGCAGCACCCAGAGTCCACGGTCAATATGTCTGGTGCACAAGCAGCAATGTTTGTGCCCAAAGAGGAGGTGTCTTCATGAGACAGTTTTGTAGAATGATTTTGCGCTTTGCTCGTAGTGATATAGTCTTCAAGCCTGCTTTCCCAACCTTCCCAGAGAAGTCTGTGGGTCACCCACATCCTTTTAATACCATGTTTCCCTGAAAGTAAGACCTACCCATAAAATAAGCCCTAGCAGGATTTCTAAGCATTTGCGCAATATAAGTCCTACCCTGAAAATAAGACCTAGTGATGGGTGTGGCTATACAGTGTATCTGCACAACCCATGCATTTCGGCCCAGAGCCATAAAGAAGACAGACCCGTAAAGAAGACAAGCAGCCCTTCTCATCTGCCCCATGAGAGCTCTATTGCTAGACATGAGAGATTGGGGCCAATGGTTCCAAAAGAAATAGAGTCACAAGAAATTCAGGATGGAATTCGGGGTTTGGAATTCGGGGATGTTCCAGAAGAAGACTTAACTATATTTGAATAAATGTAGATTGTTGTACCGTATTTAAAAAAAAATAACACATCCCCTGAAAATAAGCCCTAGGGTATTTTCTTGAGGACAAATAAATATAAGATCCTGTCTTATTCTGGGGGAAATACGGTACCTTAGCCAGAGATGCTTGAGATTACTTACAACTTAAGAACTCTGATGGATACAGCTTCTATCCCGAAATAAAGTGGGCCAGAAAGATGAAGCAACAAGAGAAACTATTGCTGTAGTCCAGAGCAAGATTAAGAGTGCCTAATGACCAGCAGAGCAAGAATGAAGAGGAGGTGCTCACGGACAGGAGAGTGAGCCTTGCTACACAGCTATTGACATTTTATAGGTAAAGTTGCTCAAAACATGTTTAGCAGACACAAATTTGATGGAAGAATATCCAAGAAATCTCACTAAAGAAAGAAAGTAAAAATGAATCTTAGAAGATATTTCCATAAAAATCAGGCTATTAGGTATATCTGAGGGAGGGCTACAGCACAGAAAGTCACACAGTGGCTTCCAGAGTACCAACAGCATTCTATGTCTTGACCTGTGTAGTATTTATATGGATATTTGCTTTATAATGACTCATTATAACTGTATTTATGTATTTTTCTATAGATGTCTCTTATATTTCTCAATAAAAAACTATTTAAAAAAAGAATCTTGGCCAGGCACAGTGGCTCACTTTGGGTAATCCTAGCACTTTGGGAGTCCAAGGCAGGATCGCTTGAGGCCAGAAGTTTGAGACCAGCCTGAGCAAGAGTGAGACCCTGTCTCTACAAAAAATAGAATAATTAGCCACATGTGGTAGTGTGTGCCTGTAGTCCCAGCTACTTGAGAGGCTGAGACAGCAGGTTCACTTGAACCCAGGAATTAGAAGTTGCAGTGAGCTATGATGACGCCACTGCACTCAAGCCAGGGCAACAGAGCAAGACTCGTCTTCTCAAAAAAAAAAAAAAATGTCACTTTAAAAAGAGAAAATATATAGGACAGAAAAAAGTAAGTCATATCTCTGGTTTTATTAAGCATTAAGCTCTAACCGTGATCAATGAATATGCCTTTGGTTAATTCTGTATTATGTCTTTTTTAAAACTTTTTATTAATGAACATACAAAAAAGTACATAATTCATAAGTGAACTTCCACAAAATGTTCCTTCATGAACACTGAAAGTTCATTCAATGAACTTTCACAAAATGAACACATCCATGTAACCAGAGTCAGGTCAAAAAACAGAACGTTACTAGCACCCAGAAGCACCTCCTTCCTAAAACCACCTCCCACAGTGGTAACCTCTCTTTCTTGATTTCTAGCATCATAGGTCAGATTTGTCAAGTTCTTGAACTTCAAATAACTGGAATCTTACAGTAGGCATTTTTGTGTCTTCTTTCTACCAACATAATATCTTCAAGATTTATCAAGGTGTTACATATACTATTGGTTCATTCTGCTAGTAGTATTCTGTCATATGAATATGCTGCATTTTATCCATTCTTCTCTTATGGAGGAATATTTTCAAACCCTCTATTTTAAACTACTCCATGAGCATGACAAACAAAACATCAATTATTGCCTATACTATAGGTATAATATTTATTGATACTCTTTACCAAAAAAAAGAAAGATAGAAAGCTACTTGTTGGTAAATATCAAACCACTGGCACAAGAACTGATAAGATTCTGAGGGTTATGTACAGTCAGCCCTTGGTATCTGAGGGGTATTGGTTCCAGAACCACTACAGATACCAAAATCCAAGGATATTCAAGTCCCTCAGTTGGCCCTCAGCCCTCCATATCCATGGTTGGCTACATCCTAGGATGCGGAACCTGCAGATACGGAGGGTACTAGCAATGCTGAGATTGACAATAGTCTTGAAGCAAAAGCACAGCACCTAAGACATGCCTTCCCTCAGGAACCTACTGACTTTGAAAGTGATTATTATTATTGGTTCTAATACTTAAGTAAAGGAATTATTATGAAAATAAGTGGTGCTTGCTTCGGCAGCATAGATATTAAAATTGTAATGATACAAAGATTACCATGGCCCCTGCACAAGGATGACATGCAAATTTGTGAAGCATTCCATAAAAAAAATAATAAAATGAAAGTAACTCTGGATATGTCTTGAGTAATTTGGATAGACCAAGAAGAAGAGTTGGTGTAGAAATGCAATCATTTCTATCTCTCTGTGTCAAGTGGGCCCTTCAACAAAAGAGACAGCATGTTATCTAAACACACATGAGGGAAAAAAATAGTAGAAAACTATTCCTTTCCTTTCCTAAAGAATTTACACTCTCAAGATGCCTGAAATGATGTCTTCAAATGTGCATATTCACAGTCACTTTTTGCAGCATGTTTCTACTGGCAAAAGACTGGAAGTAATCAATATTTCCATTAACAGGGGGAGGGGTGGCAAGGGCAATATACATAACCTTAACAATATTTGTACCCCCATAACATGATTAAATAAAAAAAAAGAAAAAATATTTCCATTAACAAAAGACTGACTATGCTATTATTAAAAAGAATAACATATGAAAGATATAGATAGAGTCATATCCAAGGTAGACTGCTAAAAATAAAAAAATTTAAAAAACAAAGCAAGATGTAGAACAAAATAATTGCCAGAATGCTATCTAGTAATTATGTTAAAAAGGAGGGAGAAAAATAATATTCTTATATATTTGTTCATATGTGTATAAACTATCTGTGAAAAGATACTGAGAAAATAACAACATTGCTTGGCTCCAGGTTGGGAAGTAGGCAGCCTAAAGAGAGGAATGAAAAGGTGGGCACTTCTCACATTATAAATATTAAAAATGCTTATACTAGAAAAGAAGAAGATTCTCAA